CCTCTTATGGAGGATCTGATAAACAGGTGGGCGTAATTTTCGAATTTCATTCAGTGCTTTTACCTTGTTTGATGAGGTACGGCAAAACCGGTAACGCCGACTTCGATCGCTTTTACTACTCGCAAGGATCTCTTTTCGTTGGAAAAGAAGGTTTTCCATAAGGGCATTTATCAGTTGACTGCAATCCGTCGGGCTCCCGTCCCCGGCTGTTTATTGTGTGTAGTGGTGATCGCTCGCCTCATCCGCGAATCTATAACTGGATTGCATTCATTCGACGAACCCTTAGTCGTGCCAAATGTGGGTAGTGAAGAACATCAACTCTGTCGTACGATTCATCGTCAGCTGTTTGCGTCCGTCTAAAGCAAAAGTATACTCATGACTATCATATTTTGCAAATCTATTTGTAAGGGGAAACCGGTGATTCATAACTTCGGTTTGAAGACAGTATTTCAAGAAAGGGTAAAATACAAACCACCGTTCAGTTGTTGCGGTTAGTACTTTGCCTGTCATTGTGTTCTACTACCGGCGATTTGGAAGTGGCAGCCTCATGTAAAATATTCTTTTGGTGGGTAGTGGAACGAGGATCTTTTACTTCGATTACTTTGTTCTGCTCGTACTCAGAATTTCTGATTAGGAAAGATGTTTACCCGTCGTTGTGGTGGCTGGTGACACGAACGCCCAGGTAGGTAGACTAAGTGCCGCTGAGGCCCGATTGGCTTGTCGTCTTGAACTGGGTGCGCACAACGGATATCGCCTGCTTCAGATATGTGTCCATCGCATGCCGTCCTTCTGCAGTAACAATTTCGGGAAATACCTTAGCAGCCTGGTGCCCATCAACGAACCAGTCACGATGTCAGTGGCGTTCGTACGTCATTTTCTCCAGTTTGTCTGATTGAGCACTTATAGGTGTAGGCACCTCAGAGTTCTTGATATAGACTAGCACCAGTCCCACTCCTTCACCCATTCCTTCTGTTCTTTTCACTCTATGGCTTTAAATATATTTAGGTGGACCTTATGGTTGCACGGCATTGGAGCATAAGTGTCGACACTGATTTTTCTCCCTCTGATGATGATATTTTATTTATTATAACCATTTCGGTGGTGCATCAAGTTCCTCGTGTCAAATGCTGATTTTTTGATTGAGTGATTTGAGAGCGAATTTTTTGAAGAAAATCTCATGTTTGGTCGTCATTACTAAAGGAACAAGGCGCGTGATAGTACCCAGTCAGCGGGGAAGAAACACGTGTTCGGGCATTCCCCTCTCCTCGCAGAATGTGCTCTCTGACTATTTGCATTCGCTGTTTTTCGGAATGCGAACGGCGGTTTAGATTTGAGTCGGCGAGGGGAAAGGCGTCCATATGGCATACACATGAGCGTATGTGTATATGCATCCTTTAACGCTCACATGTTTTAGGGGTGATTCAGTTCTTTGCCGTCCTTGCAGGGTAGGGGGTTGAATTTTACTCTTGGTGAGGGAGCGCTTTACAACATATCCACCCGTGGTGTCCGCGCTTTCGGGTTTTATTAAGTAGTCCCTTCAACTTTTACGTCCTAACCTTACGGCGGGCATCGGGGGCGAAATATGATCTGTTAGTTTGGGAAACTGTACAAATACGCACTGAAGGCGATGGTTTTGATGCGTTGGTATCACTGATTGTCATTTAGTCATGCCTACCAGGGTTATCTTAATTGAACCATCCAATGGTACAGCGTAAAGGCAATCATTTACTGGGATTCAGTCAAGTAATTCGCGTTTTTAGGCTTGAGGCTGAATGCAATTCTCAACATTTACTGCGGTATGAGGACCACCAAATATCCAAAGTGTGAAATATGGAACATCTGAGCTCTTCCTGTGCGTCTTAAGTTGCGCGACCGAAGTGTGTGTGAGTGTTTCGGAGACAATATATATCAATGCTGAAGGGAAGCAAGGTTTCAGCAAGACATGTCTGTTGCCCAATTTGACAGAGATTACGGACACCAAAGGCTGCAATATGGGTCAGGGGCTTTCAGGTGGGTTGATCACAGAGCATCACGTGATGGGTGGAGAGGAGTTTGGATGGGGGTCATTGAACGAAGAGCCACAAAAGCGAATGTTATTTCCCGGAGAAAAGAGTTTTGTTTATGTAATCTACCTTGAGCCTTTGACTCAAGAGCCCGACTCACAAGGCAGTGGGAGGATATGCGGTTTTGTTCGGGGACCCTTCGCATAGCCTCTAACTCAAAAGCCTTGACCTTGATGCAGCGGTTTTTAGGGCTTTCTTGAGAGACTCTTCCAGGAGCCAACCACTCATTAGTCTGACGCACTTGTCGACAGGCGACTTGACTGACTAGAGAATGAGGCCTAATTGTCCGATTCCTAATGCAGTTACACAACAGGTGCCTTCTTAGCAGCATCAGACTCTTTGGTTTTAAAAGTTTTTCGAATTTATTGAATAATGCATCGGCGGTCAGCATCGATCTTTGCGCATTCGGAGTGCATGGTTTTTGGCCACGACTTTTTCTGACCTGTCCTTCCTCGAACGAAGGTAGAATCGCTGCTTCTATAAATATGGACATAGTAGACGCCTGAAGGAAACGCCTTACTGTATTGACCTTCCTGTCGCAGAGAACAGTACTACTTCATCTCCAAACTGCCTCGTAATGCGGTTTCTCGCTGTCCTTCGTCGACTGCTCTTTGTTGGCCTTCTCGGCATTGCCGAAACTTTAGAAACTGAATTCCAGCCAGTGTAGCCCGCAAGTTCATTTCAGCACTTAAGCCCGACCGAGTGATAGCTTTAGGTCGCTCACGCAAAAACAGATGTTAACCTGTCCAGACGTAACACAATAGGGGTGAGGTTTTAACATGCTTTTTATTCCTTACGCACCAAATTCGAGCCAGAAATTTGCAGCATCCACTCTTCTGTTTTCGATCGGTCCAATTGGACGTCGCTGTTGTGTTACTTTACTCTAATATTCCGTTTTAAGATCATCCTGCACAACGTTTTTGACCTTTACTGGGCTCAACATCTCCCGGTTATATCGAATCTGCAACCCCAGAGAAGCTCCTTGTACTTTCTTTTCCCGTCTGTTACGTTCACAGTCGGTGTTTGTGTTAAGTAACTAGTGTTGATGAATGTAATGGTACCAAAAGAGAATACCAGTGTTAGATTTAAACCACGAGTGTTTACATGCTAGCATAGTTTTCCGCCTAATTCTGATGCAACAAACGTTAGTAACCAATGACTGCAGCCATGTAGATTCAGCGTGATAAAAAGACAGCGTTTGTTACGATTTATGGGATTAGTTTCAACATCATTCGGATCTACCTAAGATAGCAGATTCGAAATCCTATATCAAGTTCCAGTGTTTTCCAGCAAAATAGGACATGCGACCCTTCACCACTCATTCCGTCGAGGGTAGTGTGCAAACTCGCAATTTCCGGGAATATATTTAACGCAGTCACTAGACATGTTGAGTCAGATTTAGTTGGTTGGTTCCTCGCGTGCCCTATAACCTGGCCAATTTGGTGACCTGCTCTCTTGACCTGATAAAGCTTTCGTGTCAAACTCGAAACTTTGCTCATTTAAAACTACCGATTGTCAAAAGTGCATCGGATAATTGCTTCTCATGTGACTGTTACTGGTTACGTAAAAAACCTACTAGGAGTCGGGTTGCCTACTGTACGGCAGCCTAGTCTTATGGAACGGCGGCTCTGACTGATATAGTTTCGTTAACTCTCCGCATTTCACAACAGCTGAGGCGTTGCTGTGAACGGTCGACTTGTAGCATATCTTCCCTAGGTCTCGTACTAGCCATTTTTTAAGCTCCCGTGTCATATGAGCTTTCGAGATTGGTGGAGGCGATCGTTATTAGCGCCGTTTCATCAGAGAGGTAATCGACGATCGGTTCTTTATCCGTACACCGCACAGCTTTTAGTCTCAACGTGAAAAAAAACAGTACATTTTCTTAGGTATTTGTGTGACAAAATGATGGGTACGGATATAATGTCAGATGAAAAATGAAGCGGTAGTAGGAAAGTTTCGTGAGGAGTTTTTCACTACATCGAACTGACTAGAAAATAGTATGCGGTTGATACAAGTGGTATAAATATTGCCGATTAGGCTGGTCGAGTTCCGTCTTTTTTCACAGGAGAACTTCACTGAGACCGTGTTATTGGGAATTGTGTGAAAGTCACATGCGTAAATCCATTTTCGGTAGATATGCCATGTTATACCAGTTGTTCCAAGCACCAGGCTCTGAACTTCAAGCTGTTCGTATCGTTATGGTTACCATTTGAGTTCACTCTCAGAGAGGTGTTTTTACGAGTAAGAAATATCATTTTGGACTTTACTACGGAGAATAAGTTTGGGGATCTGCGATAAAATGATCTTCGTTCAAAGAAGCATCTTATGGGGGACCATCGGAATTATAATGTATACGTAAGGATTACCTCATAGCCTATCGTAACTTAACAGACTGCACTGAAATTGGTATCTTTGAACAGAGCGTCCAAAGTAATCTTCCGATGTCCATCTCGTGAAACTTGTCCATATTGCCCTTTCTAATTGTGGCTTCTCTTCGGAAGGAATTTCACTCATGTCATGGTTAGCAAGGAACTATGCTATGCGCCCTCGAGGGTATTGGTTCGTCGGTCGCGTTTGTATTGCGTGTTCCATAGAGCAGATAACTATACTGTGTCCCCTAAGGTCAGCTCTCATAAAGCGGAGAGGTGACCGTACCGGCGGAAATCTCTGTATCCGTTCTTGAAATGTCACCACTCGAGGGCATTTAGTGGTTAACGATCTCTACTCGGAGATATTCACTTCGGTCAATGGTATCTAGAATTTTTACCATACCATTTAGAACACTTGGCTGCACAAAACTTCTGTTAACTTCGTTTATATTATTGAGTGTCTTTTTTTGCCTATTTTTTGTACGTAACGGTTTTTTCCGTAAGTTGGTAAGGGAAATCAGCTAACGGAATCCAGTAATGCTAACGGTTTATTTATGAATATTTCCAGATGATTCTAAACCTTATACGGCGAACCTCTAAAATTCGTTATGGAAGCATTCATCAAAGACTACAACTGACGCCTGTGTGCAGTCCACTCAGTTCGTCCGCTCATTCAGTCGCCTCACGTTTATGGCGATCATTTTTCTATGTTCCGGGAGATAAACCTAGAATGATTGAGAAAATATCACAATTGCCGACCAAGTTACAACCGGATCAATTTGGTATGCTTATCCCCGACCTGATTGTCCTCGACTGTGAAGATGCAGTTGCAATCGATCGAAAGGTGAGCTACTAGCTAGACGCTGGCTACAGTTTACACGCATGAGCAAGTTGCGTTAAAGAGCGAAAAGAGGAAAGGTAGTGATATGGTACATGTCCATATCCTGATGGACCGTTTATACAGCGATGTCATGCTGTCGTTAAACACAAAACACTGCGCTTATTTATCAGTTAACCCATCGATCGCTTGCACAACACGCGAACGTTTCAGTGGAACCTATTGGTCACGTGATTCTCTCACCGTTGTACCAGGTTTTATGCCATGACCATCACGTGAAACGCGTTGTCTCCGATTTACGGGGAAACATGCTGTGAAGATTTCCGGACCTTCTTCATTGCGTGCTGGGAGACGGTGTGTTAAAAACGAATTTCAGTAGTTGTGCGGTACATCACTCGGAACAAAGCGTGTTCTGTTTTACCGTTTGGATATGATGCGTTGTGCTACTCTACCCTACTCTGTCGATCGACTCTGATTGTGTACCTTTATTTTGACCTAGTGTTCTGTTTTCATCGATTGCTTATTGATCTTTACGAATGAGGAACTGATGCGGTTGTTCTTGTTGGATGCTTTGTCTGATACTCAAGTTAGTGCGATTATGTTTATGTATCACTCACGTGATTTGACTTAGCATCAACACCAGCTTATTGGTGGCGTCTGATGGCATTTTCGCTTTAACTATCAGTTTCCCTGCATTTGCTGGTTAACCATAATCTATAATCATACCAGCAGCGCGCCCATTGACGTCTCCCCGGCTGACGAAATGTTCACTCAGCAGACAGGTTAACAACCACCTAATCGACAATCAGTCACTTGATCAGCTACCAGTTCTCCGATGCTACTGATTAGCCATTTTCCAACACCTACCTTTCTTCAGAACACGTTGTGTGGTAATGTTTTTTCAAGTCGGAAATTGGATCATCTTGCTATCCCTATAAAATATCCATTCGCCATTTATTACACCGATATTCACTGTTCTTTCGAGGCACTGTTATCCATAGATGAGCTATGCCGAACTATCTGGTCCATGGTGACCTATACCTAGTTCTGGAGAGATGATCTGGCGAATAGGCGCTCCTGGATGGCCAGATTACGCATAAGGTTTCTTCAGATGTTTCTGTATACCCATCAAGAGTATCAGTTTTTTGGATCGCAACCGTTTCAAATGCTGATAGAAATCTTATGTCATAAAACGGCATCAGAAACTGGGTTTATCAAAGTGCAACTTCTATGAACATCCGAGGCTGTTAAAGTCTAACGCCGTGTTCCGTAAACAGACGTTATAAAAGTTAGTCCTACTAAGGAGCAGTCAGCTGGCGGTACAGAGTAGGCGCCACCCATCTCACCATCGGATATCTCTCAAAAGGAGATTGACCGTCGCAATTTGAGGCGCTGTTTTGATGGATGATTAGCTCTTACCTCCAAGTAGCATTGTGATTGGGTTTACTCTCCGTGAGGATGTTCATAAAGTGGCGTGACTGGGAATGAGGAGTTGATGATATCGGGTTTAGCTGTGTGAATTTGCACATGTGGGCTATCCTGTTGGCCTAACACCAATCCGCTCAGACGCAACTGCTTGACTGCTTTGATGCTCTTGTAGTGCAGAATGTCAGCTATCCAATAGTTTGGGGTTTTGTTTCACCGATAAACGAGCTAAAAAGCGTTAAGACGAGCGAAAGCGGTGGATCAGCCAGGGTCACCTTAAATCAGCTGTAAGTCAGCAGAAAGCAAGTTTCAAACACTATCAGTATTAATAGAATCACCAGATTGTGCGCGTTTGTAGTTGAATTGACTAATACGCCTCGGTTTTCATGCTGTGATAGAAGTAAGCGATCTGAAATATTATTATCCAGCGTGTTTTGTCCAGTGCTCTCTCTCTCTTTCATTCATGGAGTAGTACAGTCGTTTGTTTGCGTACAAAGTTAGATATGTTAAGACAGATGAGTAAATCATCACAAACGTAGGTATGCAAAAATAGCTAACTGAACGCCTTGCAAAGAAGAATCACCCCCGGACAGTCTGTTTCATAAGGCTTCGCAAAAGTGGTGTTTATTGAAAAAAAAAACAGATGGATTGGGCACCTGATCGGTCTAATTTCGGAGAAATTATAAGGACTCCTAGGCACATAAAGAGAACCTCTCGAATGATGCATCAAAACGCATCTAGGAAGTTAGTAGCAGGATGTAAATCAAGCGGGACATAACACTCGACTCAAAATGCAAGCAGTTTCTGGAGGGCACGACCGAACAAAACTGCTGTTTAGTCCTCAAAAATGGCTCCAACTCCACCAGAACACTTTTGATCGTTGTTTCTGCCCAGAACACTGAACGACTTGGTCTGCATGGCTAGGTATCCATAATTGCCCTCTGGTGCCCATGACAGTTTCCATGATAGCCCATTTTGGGAAAGTATCTTTTTCTTCTTCATGGGGGCAGTACATTGTTCATTTTCTGTCTCCGTGTGGAATCATTGGTACCAGTTAATACAGGCTTCACGAGCATCGGCGGTCAAATCTTAATTGAACGTCGCGGGTAGATAAGGTCTGCAGTTGCGGTATTTATCGTCCGCAATTGACCCTTCACTCTTTTAAACACACAGTTTCAGTGTTTCATCGAAACAGCTACAGTGGCTTCGCAACAACAAGCGCTTTGCCGAGCTGACTAAATGACTTGGTTCCAGATTTTCCTCCACTGTGAGGGATAAAACATTTCGACAGTAATGCTACAGAGAAGCTAATTAGTTAGACTACCAAGATCTTTTAAGATTCCAATCGGAAAAAGCTAATTATTAAAACTACCAAATCTTTTAAGATTCCAATCGGAAATAGGTCAACCCAGGTTTTTCGGTGGTGAAAATTTAAAGAGGAAGTGTTCTGTAAGAAGTTGTGTTTACTACCCACAGCACGGGTCTTTTACGATCACTAGTCCCATAAAATCAGCACGAGGATAATCCACCCACATACTGTGGTGCGCGTAACCCATCAAAAGCTGTATGAATCCTCTTCTAGATCGAATGTATTTTCTGTCCAGGGTCATTCCAACTGGACCTGAAGCTTGACCTCCTCGACCCGTACGTTCACACTTATCATCACTCTACGCGGGAATAAGTCGGCTTGCATCCATACTTTCGGTTCATCTCTGACACGTTCTGTGACCTTATTCAACCACTATTACGACGAACGAAAAATAGGAAACTTTCTTCATAGCAGTAAAATTGCGCTTTATTAAGAGGGGATACGGAGAGTGCCATTCAATTGCACACTCAAGAGAGACGCATCGAAAATGCACACAGGTTTCTCAGCTCTTACAGAGAGCTGTCCTTGAAGATAAAGTTCATTTGGATGCCTCTGAAGAGTGAAAGGCTTGGAGGAGCGAAAAGTTTTTTTCTGCGCAGATGAGACCTGGCGTTTTGTCCTGTCGTTATAATTGACTAATAAAGTGTGATGTAACCCGCTACAGTTCTTCCCCGTAGTTTACTTGTTTTTGTTTGCAATGGAACTAATACCACTTGAAATCCGGGCTTCCTTTAACCCCGACCACCTGAGAAGCACAGAGATTTAGTAGCACGTGCTTTAGTATTTTATCAGGTTTACCTACTCTGTGGAGCACATGACCAATCTGCTGTGAAGTGTGGTAATCCGTGTTTTTGCCCAAAAGCACTCAGCTTTACCCGCCTCGAAATTCCTGGTGAATGCAAGGAGCAAATGGGGGGAGGTGGACCAAGTGGTTAGAGCGCGAATTTACTGACCGTAAGGTTCGTGCTTCGAAGCCGACCTCTGCCTCTCGACTTCTCCTGTCTAGGGTTGGGCAACCTGGCAGTATCTCAGCCCTCGTGCGGCATGGCAGCATGGTAGTAGAGCGAGTGCACTGGTAATTGGATGTCATTGGAGCACGAACACACGTGTGTGCATTACATTTATTCAACGCACATCCTGTGATTCGGTGTATTACGTCTTAATCGAATTCAGGCTGAATTCAAATTTTATTCCCAAAAACTTTGAGGTGTATTCCACATCACCTTTTTTCAAACAATTGAACAGATTATCAAGAAATCGGCATCAGTCATTTTGAATCCGACTGCTGAGGTTCGAACGAAGTTCTGCAAAATGCAATGTCATTTTGTCCACTAGACCAACCAGACCTTGCTTAGAATCACCACCTTAAACTGATAAATTTTCCGGGGAACCGATAATTTTTTAGTGTCATGGTTAATCTACCTCAGGTGAAGAGACGGACACTGACTTTCAGCTAGATTATTCTGTGCTATGAGGGAGAATTTCCGACTCGGAAATAGATTACAAAACTCCACTGTGTATTTGATTTGCTTTGTTATCAGGCGGAAGCCCGGCAAGCTGTTTCCGACGCACTATCCGCTCCAGACGGTGGTCTATTCCGAGTATTACGGCAAGAATTTCAACGTACGTTAATTGTTAGAATCAATGATGCGAACTCAGGTCACGCTATCGATGATCTTGTCGCTGTATTGGATGCTGCAATTACGTCTTCTGACTCGAGCAATGGGATGTGGCCTGGCCCCGACTTGTTTTGCTTACCCAAAGTTGAGTCACTCGATGAACTGTCTTGGGTAAGTTAAGCATTTCATCGTTGTTTTTTGGCCTGGAATAGCCTTCCTACTCTGTTTACTGTGCGTTGTTTGCCATGAGAACAAGGTGCTAATTGGAATCTGGCTGGAGTGGTCTACCTGTGCAGACCTATCTTGTGTATTTTTTCGGACCGTGCAAGTTCATGAGCTGGATAACTCATCTTTGCCGAAATGAGTGCGCACTGCTTCCGAGTACTGGGTTCAGCAGACGATACCGTTTCTTCCATCTGTTCCCCTATTCTGTCCTGTGAATAACGCTTTTCCACTGATATTCAACCTTCGTTATCGTGAAATCTGCTGATCTTGTTTGGTGATGAACTCTTCGGCGCGAATCCTTCCTCTGATGATGACAAACAGGTACCCCTTGTATATCGGTTTCCATATGTCGGCACCGAATAGTTGACTAGTCGTAGTACAGGATGCCTGAGGGTTGCAGAATATTCATTAGATTCCTCATTCATCAGATACTTCATCCAGATCTAGATAATCGTCTCTAGACCAGTCTGACGTCATTTTCAGTTGATTCAAAGAAAGCAACAACCCACACTACCGAGGGATCGAATTTTGATACCAATGGCCAAGGGCTTTGTGATACAGAATAGAGGAAAGGCCAGTTCACTGAAATGCGTAGAGAGTGGGAGCTATCCAAAATCAAAGGTAAGACAGAGTTAAATTAGGCTGATTGGACGGCTTAAAATATAATAATCTTACCGCACACGACGAATGTTTGGTGGCACTGTTATGGAAGTATCCTGTGACGAAATTCCCGTTGTGGAAGCAAGCATATATAGTGTCCGAAGGTGGTGAGCTTCAAGAAAGCAGTGTGATTTCAATCAATTAGAAAATGTTTCGGACCGATTGAGAAGTCACCGTTTCAGAGGGTTTGGCAAACAATCGGTGGATTTACTGCTGGGCAACGTTTCGCTTTTGACACAAGAGCTTCGTCAGGCCAAGTGAGTAAGTAGTAGGTTGATTGGGTTTTAAGGCAGTCAGGGAATCAATCCGTGATATTCCTTATGACTAGTGACTTGATCAGTGCTGGGTGTTCAGTCTGATGTTCCTGTTTGTTGATTAGTGGGGATGACTAAGATTTACGATATATTGGTTAGGGGGGATTTGTCTTCATGATGAACTCGGATTTTTCGTCCTTACTTTTTCAGTCTAGGACACCTTAACGGAAAATTCCTCTTGGGGTCGTTCACAGATTTCGTTCACCTGTGTTCGTCCAAAGGTGCTGAGACAATTGGTTTGGGGATGGGGGTGGGGTGGTTAATTGGATCTAAGGCTACTTGGATTTTGTACTTTTAGACCCAGGCCATTTCGCTGATAAGTGCACACCGCCTCGTGTCATCTCGGTTGATCTAAGACCGCTCTCCACACGTTTGCAAGTTCAATCTCCTCTATTCTATTCACACTGGGATGCTTGGCGATTTCCACCGCCTCGGCCACCAGTCTCAGATGTCCCTGTTTTGTATGGAATGACCGCTGCTCCGATCCACTCCTTGTTGGGCCTTGGTGTTGGCGCCAATACCTGTCTTAGTCGCCCCTTAATTAAACCCACTGGGTATCCGCTATCCTGAAGTCGCTTTTTTACTTCAAGTTGTGCTGCTCTTCGGTCGACTTCCTCTGTGCACAGTGCTCTCACTCTCCTAGACATCGCTGAAGCTATGCTGGCATATACTGCTTTTGGATGTGCAGAGGAGTAGTTTAAAGCCGCACCGCTATCTATTGATTTCCGGTATACAGTGGTTTTTAATTTCCCACCACTCTTGTGTGTCATGCAGTCAAGGAAAGGTAGTGTACCCGATGTGGACTCTAGCTCCATGCTAAACTTAATGTGAGGGTCCAAAGTGTTCAGATATTGAAAAAATTCGTTCACCTTATCCAGCTTTATCACAACGAATGTGTCATCTACGTAACGCCAGAACACCCTTGGTGGACACTCGAATCCGTTTAAAGCTCCAGATGGTTTGTCACAGATCTTAGATACCTCCCAACTTCAACTTTACTCTTATTCATAATTGACGTGATCGTCCCGTTACTAATTTATCGGTAGGGACCATCAGCTATGTGTTGTCTAACTTTCTGAAGATAGTCACTCTTATCCACGATGACCGTGGCCTTTCCTTTATCTGCCTTTGTAATTACTTTGCTGTCTACATTTTTTAACGTGTTTAACGCTCTTCGCTCAGCTGGTGCGATGTTTGGAACCCCTGGTTGCTGGGACTTGAGGACTGTGACCAACTGTGCACGTAATTTTTCCGCTTCCATTGCAGGAAGCTTATGGAATACAGACTCAACACTAGGAATGATCTCTGCCCTTATAACGCCTTTGCTTACTGCAAAATTCAATCCTTTCTCTAACAGACAACGTTCCTCTTCACTTATCTGATAAATTGACTACGCTACAATAGCTAGTGGATGACTCACTCTTCTCTGCTGTGTTACCAGAACAGCGAGTGGTAGAAAGCAATTTTTCGAGCTTACGTATTTGTCTGTCCTTGCACTGTTTACCTTGAGCTGATTTTACTTCCTTTGCTCTGGTATCTAGTAATTCGAATTCAGCAGGCCAGAGTGCGGACTGAAGATCATGGTTGAGACGACACGCGCGGTGGCGGATATCAGTTAAACGTTGGGTAGTTAAATGGATACTCTGTTTGAGGAATGATTTGGCCGCTGAAGAAGCAATTCGGGCAGTGCTCTGGTATCTATTAATTCGAATTCAGCAGGCCAGAGTGCGGACTGAAGATCATGGTTGAGACGACACGCGCGGTGGCGGATATCAGTTAAACGTTGGGGAGTTAAATGGATACTCTGTTTGAGGAATGATTTGGCCGCTGAAGAAGCAATTCGGGCAGAAGCGGGGGACGCATCTGATGGCTTAACAACCAGAGATTCGGGAATTATGTTATGCTTCATTCATCCAATGTTGAAAATGCGATGGTTCTCGCAGTCTGCCTCCGATCTTGCCAATCGAACATATTCACTTGACAGCTTCCGAACACATGGTCCGTAGATGTTTTCAATCGATTGGAAAATGTTTGGGATCTATTGGGAAGTCATTGTTTCAGGGGGGTTTGGTAAACCATCGGTGGATTTATTGCTGGGCAACGTTTCGCTTTTGACGCAAACGATTCGTAGTTCCTTGTATAAAATTAAAGTTTGTCCGTCTGGTTTTTCATGTGGTCGGCAAGTGTACCGCCCTTCTGAGTTAGTTACAATTTTCCCTAGTGTTTGTACTGTGTGCAGGTTTATTTTCGCTTCTGGCATGACTCTCTGTTCCATTATTCCCGAGTAGAACTGATTGACTGGCTTGCGGGAGATAGCCATACTGCGCATAGTCGGGTTGCCATTGTATTGCCTGGCGTAGAAATACACGTGTATTTTCAACGTGGAATGTTTGAGACTGATTTAGGCATTGTGAACTAGAGTAGTGGCATCAAGTACAGGGTCTGTCGTAAACTCCTCCTCTTCCCTTGTTGGAATGATATGGTTAACAATTTATGAGGAGATCCATTCCACTAGTTTTTTTTATGAACCCGCCTGCGTTGTTTGACCTCAGTCAGCGTGCGAAATGTCGATCATATGAAGACCAGCGTTCAAAGGAGTCTTTGCATGCGTTTTGAGTGAACTGTAAAAAATTCAGTTACGATAAATAAGATACTACTCACAGTAACACAAAAATATGGAACAAAGCACCATTTTAAGAGTCCAAACGACGAGAAATTCCGGCTGAGGGAGAACGTGAATGGTTAGACTATCAATTGCAAAATAATTGAATTGATTTACGACAGCCATGGTTGAATTTTTGTTTACTATGACTTCATATGGTCCGAGGAAGTTGGAGTACCTTCTCAAAAAACGAACAACAGAGAATGTCGTGAGCCGATTCGGACAAGTTGCTTGGTACATAGCGCTCAAAATCGTCACCACCAAAGACTGGCAGTTTCCCTGTGGTTAACATGAGCCTGGAAGGGGCTTCTTAATTCCAACGCAGAAGATTGAACCTATAGGTCATTTCTAGTACAGATTACCTCAATTCTTGTAGGCAGCTCACAGTTTTGAGCAGTACATTTGTCTGCTTTGGCTGGGCCACCACAGTATCTAAATTTGAACAAAACTCAGTGGATCGCATAGCACCTTGATCTAGATTATTCGACGTACCTCATCCGCACAGAATCTTAAGTACTTGGCGCGATGTCGTATACATAGTCTAGTCCTCCTCCCGTAGAATGTTAGCTCCGCAGGTAGTTGATGTGAAGAGGGTTTCTTCGACATGTAAGTTAACTGAAAAGTTGGAAAAAAGTGATAAAACAGCAGTCCTGATAAACATCACTCTTGTGGGAGGAGAGTTCCCCACGCCAACGGGTGATGATGTTCGGATCAGCTTTGAAGTGTAAGAAGATTAACAAATTAGTGCTATCGACCGAATCGAAGACTTCCCAGGCCCAGGGAGACAACAATTGCTGGTTCTTTATGTGTTGTAGTATTCTAGTTGTCGCAAGGTAAGGATGTGGCTAATGTGTCCACGGCCCAAATGGCCCTTCCTCTGTATTTCATGATTCGGTCTTTTTGCAAATATTGGTGCTCTAGCTTATGATGATATCCGTTGGCAACTTAGAAGCGATGACCAGGATCGCACAACCAATGATTTTCGCATCCAGATCAGGGAATTTTCAAAGACAGAGCAACGCTAGATATCTGCCACTCCCAGTATCCCTTACATCTTCCAAACATTCTGCATCAGTTTCATAGACTGTGAACTGCATGCACAAAAAACGGATGCCCATATTGTACCGCGCATTATTCCTTAGCCAGTGTGTTTTGAGAAGTTACCTACAACACGCGATTCTATACAGTACGTAATACGCTCGAGAACGGGTGCACCCGTTGGTAACCGAGAGTAATTGTTTCCTGTTGGCCCTGATGAGTATATGGGTCAGGATGCAATGTGTAGCAGAAACTTACACCAAAGTTCACCATAATCGCTAATACTTATCCTAATGATATGCATTAAGTACTTTTAATCGTACACCTAAATCCGCGGATTTCTGGGTAAGCCTATCAGTGAATTCGTGCGATTTCGACCCTGTCGACTAGCAAAGATTAGACAAGCGAGCACGTTTCGAAATACATCATGTGGCGCGTGTGTGAAGGTGTATCTGGAAGTTTCATTTAAACAGGTGATCTTGATGCCGTGGAAAGTAATGAATGCTAGTAGCGTTGAAGGTGCTCCCAAGCTACATGATGAAAATACTGGATGATTATCTCTGAGAGCAGACAGAATCAGCAGCCGGTTCTGAAGCTCATCCTGATAATCGTAACAGTGAACGGTGTGAGAGCAGAGCGTGACACGATCAACTTTGGGTGACGCTTCCAAGTTTACTGACAGTACCCGGTGTAGTTGCTCTTCCGCGTAGTGACAATAAGAGGTTGACCCAAGAGAAATCCCAACCTGTTACTGAAAAACCAAAGGCTTTACTGACCACTACTCCCAAGTCTATGTTATTCAAATGGGCTTCGTCGTCTCTAGAAAGCGACAATGTAACTTTATCCTGTCTTGTCCGAATCCTTTGATTATCTGCTTCAACGAGCAGTTCCTGTTGGATTGCCCTGAAGTCTGTATCCGATTGTAATGCATATCCAGTGTATAGCTGCTCCTTATTTTGATTGAGTGAACTACGCGGTTGTCACATTCACACTTGTACTAATATAATCACCGTGCTCTTCCAGCTTTCCGATCGCGTCGATACCTACATATCCAAGGCTACGTCTTCGAGGTCCAAGCCCCAGTTGGGTCTAGTTGCCATGATCGAGTCTTGCAAGTCAGTTGTCAACTTACCAGACATATGCCTTGGGGGCAAATCTTTAAAAATTCCCCTGGTGGGTGTGGTCTTCGGTTCTGATGATTATTGTGTCAGTCTTGGTAAGTTTGACGGCACCCGTAACTATGAGCACGCTTGAAATTCTCGATTGTCTAGTTCTAGCTAATCCAGAGCCATTTCTTGAAGCATGCTTTCTTACTTGATACTTTGTAACTTATTGCCGAAAGTCACTTGTTTGAGTCTACGTGACTTTATGGAAAGTATTATAGTTGCACCTTCCAAGTTTCCTCTCGGCCACCCTAACGGACTTTTGAGTTGTGCCTTCAACAATGAGAAGGTGCGACAACCTCGGGAGAATTATTGATCAACTGGACCAGGTTGTGGTTGAAAGTGAAAGATGTGGATATGATTTATCGTGAGGACTTTGGTCTGATTAACTGCAGTGCTCGTGGCGAGCTCATTCAAGTTGCTGTTTGTGTTTACGTCTCACAAAGCCGTGTAACACAGACGACCCCGATAGACGACGGGTGGTAGCCGCCGCGACGGCTTTCTGAACAAGGGGGATTTAACCTGTGTACTCCGAAATAACTGTCTCCAATGAGATAGGACCCCATCTATTACGACCTCAGAAATACTAGGCTAGTATAACTTCATTACGGAGGAGGCCGTCATATGGGTTGACTAACAGTCGTACTAGATGAAATCGTTACATGGAGGGTCGTGAGTCCTATGCTATTTATTTGATAACGTTACAAAACAAGGACACCTTCGAGGTGTAGGTTTATGAGGGTCTATAGAGCAGCTACCTAATCCCTGCATTCAAGTGTAGCAAATTATCGTGACAGGAACTAACCAGCTGGATTCCCCGCAACGCGAATTCGAATGGTGGTACTGTTATCTCCCGACTAAAAAGTCACCTCGCCATGGTGGTGCTGCAATGATCCTGTGGGCTGTAGTGGCTGGAACTCAGTTCCCAAAGGTTCAGCAAACCAGTGACACCAACGGTGAGCAGCACGACAAAGAAGAGCGAGTCCCCGTACTTCAAGAAGCTGTATTACAGAGCGGTCTTGAGGTGAAGGCGTACTGTCCTCTGCGATAGGAGTGTGAAGGCAGTAAGGCGTTTCCTCCAGCCAATCCAGGCTTTTGAGTTAGAGGCTATGTGAAGGGTCCCCGAACAAAACCGCATATCCTCTCACTGCCTTGTATGTCAACCTTCTGAGTCAAAGCCTCAAACAACTCCGCTTCTTCGGCCCGGTCCTCATACGTTTTCGTCCACTGAGACCTCCGCACGTCCCTCTTCCAAGTCCTCACTAATTTAGCCGTTTCTCCTTATCTAAGCTTCTGCCCACTAAAATAAATAAAAAGTAACCCTCATTATATTCAAGGCCTATTCCATATTACACCTTGCAACGTCCGTACTCTCTCAAATTTGGTAACGGGTAGCTCTTGCTCAGACCTTGTTCTCTGGGCCGATATATGTTGTCCCCGAAACCCAAATTTCCTGCACGTTACTCTTCGGGTGTCTGGTGATCTTGATGCACTGGCTCGTGGTGCCTACGGCTTGGGGGTTGTGCTAAGCCTCAGGGCTGAATGCGGTTTACTGAACTGGATTACAGTTTACAGTTGTCTTTGTGCTGTTGGGTTGACTGGTTTGATCAAGCTCAATACACCTTGACGTAGTGGACGGCGTTTATTCGTGCCACCATACGCTTCGACGGACTGTAGCTCTGAGGCTGAGGAAGACAGCTTCTACAGGGATGTGTCACGGTTACTCCGGTGATTTGAACGACGATTTGAGAACGGTGGAAGAATTTATAATCACAGCCTTTGGTACGGTCTATCATAGGACGCTCGTATACCCCAATGGACACGATCACCAGTTCTGATTGGAGCCAGGAAAACTATACCAGCAGCAAACAACTGTGATGACTTGTGCAGGTCCTCCAAACGGCGAATAATGAAGAGCCTTAGGATTAACGGAGAGCGCTGGTGGATCACCGAAACCTCGAGAAAGGAGAAGGCTTTAGCAGCGGAAACCATCGCACCCCAGTTAATCACAATCATCGACAGCTTAACATCGAAGTTACACACTGATGCTTCCCTGCCGTGCAACCATAATTCGTTTGAAAGTCCCGTTGTGAGAAGAATAAAAGTTGTGCTAGCCTACCACATTTACCCCGAGGTGCCTACACCTGCGGACACTTATTCAGGAAATCTGGGTAAAAGTTGACTGCAAGAACGCTGTTGACATCGATGGGCTTGACATTTTGAGGTTCAGATGGGCCCCATCAACTCACCCTCCGGAATGACTGACTGACCGATTGGGACATCGACATCCGCCCGTCATCGATGATAGAAGTCTAGGGTGCAACCACATTGCTTCAGTGCACCAAGCATCCGGACGAGACAGTTTGCATTCTTCATAGGTGACCAGATCGTTGTGGCTAACCTGGTGACCCTAATACAAATGTCTAGAATGAGGAGAAACATCCGACAATGTAGAGTGCCTCGATGATGATTCCAGTATTCGAAGAGGGTGCAGGAAATCGTGCAAAAACCACCGGGGCATCAGCCTAGTGGCTATTGCTTCCAAGGTGTTCTCTAGCATTATTCTGTGCAGGTTAATTTGCCATCAGCAGAACCAGATTCACGAAAATAAAGCTGGATTTCGCCCTCGCCTTAGTTGAATTGATCATGTACTCACATTGCGGCGTGTTCCAACTGTACCACTTTTCCTGACGACCAATAATGCTAGTATTTCTCGATTTTAAGTCCGGTTTAGGTTCCATTGGCGGTCAAAAATGTGGAGTTTCTCTTCTAAATTCTTCTCTCCTGTGGGGGCTCTATATGTTTCCTCCCGTGGGCATGGATGTGTCTACGACAGATTGTATCACGAATTCACCACATCCAGTGGTGTCAGGCGAGGCGCTCTCTATCACCCCTTCTCTTCAACTTCGTAGTCGACATGCTGCTTGAATCTTCTTTTTCTATCTCTAACATCTCGGAGGTCGAAATACTCCCGGGTACTGGGTATGCTGACGATATTGCTGTTCTTGGATCAGATCCTCTATAAATGCAAGCCATTTCATCAAATGATCTAAATAGTTCTGCTTCACACCTCTACATTGCAAAGTACTGCTGGAGGATTGGATAGGGTTAAACACAAACTTCATGCTTGCAGGTGAACCCATCAATGTGGTAGATAAGTCCATTTACCTGGGTAGCTGCATATATTCCGGTGGTCTGGCGAAAGGCTAATCACTTTCTGAATTCTGAAGGCCAGAGCAGCGTTGGCTAACCTTCGACATTTGTGGCGATGACGTGAAATCACCTTGAATATCAAGAGTAGAGTGTGCAATGCCGCCGTCCGATCTGTTCTAGTTCATCGATCAGAGACGTGGCCGCCGCATGTGGAAGACCTTCAAAGGCTCTCTTTGTTTAACCATACGTGCTTCCGAAGCATTGCGCGAGCCTGGTGGGAACACCAGGTCAGTAGTGCTGAACGACAACAAATGGTTTCCGAAAAGGTTTATTCTGCTCCGATAGATCAGCTGCTTACACTCTAAAGCTATCCTGGTCATGCTTCGTAATTCGTGTGCCAGAGGACCGTCTGCCTGATAAAGCTCTCTTCGCCCAGTCTTGTGTCGAAGAAGCGTCCAGTGCGCGACCTTGCAGCGAAACATGGTTATCCTTAACAGTCAACTCAGTCGCACTGGTAAGTGCTAATCTCCCGAATGGGAATCGGGGGTTAGCGGTAGATATGACTATGTCACGAAGCCAGTGGCGATCTTGCATCATAGCTATCGTTTTTACTACGTAGCTCTCCACCGCCACCATATCGGGCGAACAGAGCCATTCGACGTTGGTGAACGGATAGGATCAACTCATCCAACATCTGGTTCTCATATCCTTACTATCCTTATCCTCGGTGAACGAAGCTGTTGCAGCTGAAATCACTGCGTTTCGGTGTACGGCTTGTGAGCTGGAAAACTGCATTGTTCTCTAGGTCACATATCAGCAGCTCGTTATCACACCCAAAAGATGGGAACTGAAAGGCCTGTGTAGTCTTTCCGTCCACCGAGATCGTAGGCTAAAAGATCTGAAGTAACTGATTAGGTTAATTTCTCGGGAGCATGTGCGATTACTTTAACAACATGGGATCGATCGGGAACATCCGTTTTGCTATCGCAGTTGAATTGTTAGATTTTCAGGCGAGTCACTGGCATAGCGGGAGAATGAACTCTACTCCGATCTTGCCTAGACAGATAAATCTGCTCCAAAGTTGGAGGAATCACAAGTGCGTGCGTCACCGTTATCCCTCACAATTTACTATATCCGGAATGCTACGCTGTATGTACATTCCATTCTATAGCTCTGCTATCAAACTCAATTTCTTTCGCTTTAGGCGTTGACAGAAGTCCTAACAACGTGGAATTATCCTATGCTCGAAGCTATGTTCCAGTCGTGGCAAAAGCCTCTGGGTTATCATCAATCGATATGGTGGATATAGACTACAAAGGTAAGCCCTCGCTACTGCATGTATGGTAACTGTCCATCTTCCACAGACACCGAAAAACTTGAGGAAAATTGCAAGCACGGCGCCCAAATGGGTTTCAGTGGCAAACAAACCATACACCCGGCCCAACTACCCATCGTAAACAAGGCGTTTTCTCCATCCAGTGCACGCATTGAATGGTCGAGGGCTTTGCTAGCCGAAGCCGAAAAACATTCGGAGGGAGATGCTGTAGGTGCAGGTGCATTTACTTTTCGTGGTCGGATGATTGACCGCCCAACGCTGAGACAGGCAGCACACACCGTAAAACTGGCGAACTTGATGAATTTTCGACAATGATGGGGCAGATTTCTTCCTATTTGTTGCTTATTTTTACAATGATTTCTTACTTCTGAAAAGATAAACTGCACACACCACCTAATACCCTCTTCACCGAAAAATGGGACAGGTCTCATAACTCGTAATGTGGGCTAGTGAATATTGCTGTTCCACCTCGCTTCGAACACACAGAACAACGATTTCATTTCAGTTGCTTCTATTGCCTCAAACAACCGTAGGGCATCCCTCGAGAACCCATGCACCCCCGTAAAAGTTGCACATGCCCTCAAACAACCAACCGTAGGGCATCCCTCGCGTACCCATGCACCCCCGTAAAAGTTGCACATGGGGCCGGGAGCGAACAGCGCTGTGGCCCTACATTGCTGCTGTGATTTGTTTTACTACGAACATTGATCACATCGTACTCGGAGCGACCGAAGATATTTCTCGTCGACAGTCACCTTGAGTGTGAAAGGTTGGAAGTCAATATGAATTTCTGACCGTGAACGTCTAGAAAGTAAGTCGACTGATTCGAGGGAATAGCTGAAATCAAAGGATAACTTATTGTGATCATCCTTGGATACATGTTAGGATAAGTGGAGTTCGAAATTGGGATGTGTCAAAACTGTACGTGATAGCACTTGGGCGATATAGGTTGCAGCTGTTCCCTTGAAATTTTTTATTCAGTCCTCTATGGTGCCTACATCGTTTTCAAGAACTCCGCAGTGCACTATTGTTGCTAGTTTTCCCAATTCCGATATGGAGTCTATGGAGTATGATGCGACAGACAAGCAATTAACGATAGAACTAGTCCTTTCTGGTCAGAGTGAGCTGGACTGATTATGAAAGTACATGTGCATAGTTGATTGAAGCCCTCAAACCCGAGCTCCATCATCATCATTGTCAGCTGTAAGAACCTGGTCAGAGTGGACTGATTATGAAAGTACATGTGCATAGTTGATTGAAGCCCTCAAACCCGAGCTCCATCATCATCATTGTCAGCTGTACTGTAAGCGTACTGGTCGTAC